AAATCTTGCTTGAATGTGCAATCAGTGAGATTGTTCTGTAGTTTCCACATTCTGTTGGGTCACCTTTCTTTGGGATAGGAACAAATACCGATCTCTTCCAGTCAGTTGGCCAAGTGGTCATTCTCCAGATTTCTTGGCACACTGCTAAGTAGTCACTTAAAAAAATTTGGTTACCATTTGTTTATACAAATTCCAAGTTTAGAAAAAAATTTTTAAAACTCTTCTTACCTGAAGTGAGAAGCTTGATTCAGGAGGCAGCTATAGTCATCAGGAAGCTCTATCAAAGTATTTCTTTTTCTGGGGTACCTAGGAATGTAATTTAAAAAGCAATTTTATTTATAAATAAGCCCAGGTCAAAACCTCTCTAAGGTGACAGAAAGAAGAATGTTTTATAAAAAGCAAAGCAGGTTTTTAATGCTTGTGTTTTTGTGTACCATCGAGTTGGAAATGACGCTTTGCTTTTCAGAGGCAGCTTAATTGCACTGCAGGAGATGACCTATCTTTCTCCCATAGACCAGCTAGTGGATTTGAACCTCGTGCCTTTGGGATTGCAGTAGTTTCTTGTCATTAGACGACCAGAGCTCCATTTCTCACTATGTTGCAAATGTACTGAAACAAAACTTCTCAGACTAAAATTCTAAATTTTGCACCAGTCAACTTGCTTTTAATCTTAACTCTTACTGTTTCTACAAGCAAATTGTTCTAGTTAGATTTTATACTCTCCAGGAAGGTAATATAATATAGAATACAGAATAAATATATAATAAATAATTAATATATAATACAGTAGTTAACATAAACTTTAAGATTAGACACTCTTGTATATAAATCCTAAATTCTTTTATATTGTGACAGTACTAAATAAAGCTATCTAAGGTGGCATATAAATTGGTAAAATGGGGTAATTATATTATAAATTCTCAATATAAGGCACACCACAGCAGATTTTATAGGGAATACAGCAATAGATTTTAATGGGGGAGGAGAGGAACATTATAGTACATGGGCACATGAATTAAAAGACTAAATTTATTTAAGAAATTTTAAAATGTAAATATTAATGTCAAAGAATCTCAAAGAGCTGTTAAGGCCTAAATGAGAAGGCAAAACACAAATATGTACTTAGTACTTAATACATCTTTGCAAATATTAGTTCTCACGATTAGATATATTAGGGAGCTCAAGTGGCCTAGTAAGTAAGGAGTTTTACTGCCAACCCAAAGCCAAGTGATTTGAATACACCTGCTGTTCCACAGGAGAAAGACTGCCAGTCTCTTCCTGTGTGATTTATAGCCTCTGAAAACCTGCTAGAGGGCTGAGTTGCAAGGAGTCAGCTACGACTCAAGGTAAAGAACAACGACATATTGGATACATTAGACAAGAAGAATGGATTCTCATTCATCAACAAAAAGAATGTTCAAGTGGTTGCTGCAGCAGCACATATACTAAAATTGGAATGATACAAAGAAGATTAGCATGGCCCCTGTGCAAGGATGACATGTAAATTGATGCAGGGTTTCATATTTTTAAATTGAAAGAATTTGTTCTTGAAAACAATGTATTCGAATTTTGTAAATAAATTGTTGTTATTGTTGTTATGTGCCGTCGAGTCGCTTGGGACTCATAGCGACCCTATGTACAACAGCCCTAAACTCTGCTCTGTCCTGTGCCAACTGCACTGTCTCCGACACTCCCACCCTGATTATCCCAGTCACTGAATCAATCCACCTCATAAAGGGTCTTCCCCTCCTGTGCTGTCACCTCCACCCTCCCAAGCATGATGTCCT